TTTTTTAAATATTTTCCAAAAGATGTTTAACAGTGCAAGGAAATTTTCACAGTATGTCTGATTATATTTTTTCTTCTGGAGTAAGTCTTATTTGTTTTATTTCTGCTAGAATAAAAGCAGTTTTTTTATTGTTTTTGAAACCATTTTAAAGTCAAAATTATTAGCCTCTTTAAGCTATATTTTTTTCAATAGTCTACAGAACAAACCGTCGTTATACAATAACTTGCCAAATTACCCTAACCTAATTAAACTAGTTAAGCCTTTAAATGTCACTTTAAGCTGTATAGAAGTGTCTTGAAAAATATCTAGTCAAATATTATTTACTGTCATCATGGCAAAGAGAAAATAAATTCAGTTATTAGAAATGACTTATTAAAACTATTATGTTTAGAAATTTGAACAAATCTTCTCTCAGTAAAACAGAAATTGAGGGAAAAAATAAACATGGTGGACGTTCAACAACTTTAATCTTAAGGTAAACACAAAACAAAAGTTTCCATCTGGACCTTCTTTATGGGACTCCACACTTGTAAACACTCGCTCCATCTTGCTTGTGGCTCTCAGTATCGCCCTCACTCATCATCGATATCAAGCTGACTAATCACAGAACTTGCGCTATGCCTGGTTGCGATGTAATAGAGCAATTCCAGCGTTATGGATGTGACATTTGCAGTAAAAACTCAAAACATAATTTCACACAGAAAGTATATGTTGACATTATATCGAAACTTCTGTTTATATTTTCAAAAATAGCTCACCACAGAGTTATGGGAGCAGAAAAATATTAATATGAAAACATGTTTTATATTTTAAATTAGGAAAATAAACATGCGTTATGGATGTGACAAAAAAAGTTTGCGAATTTACAGTCGACAACAGATTATTTAGAAATTCTGACAGTTAAACTGCACAACCCAAAAGAAACAATGCTCATCAAACAGGTATGAGTCAGCTCACTATAGAATTAAAATGATTGATTTTATTTTATTTGACATTTTTGCATTTATGAAGAAAAAGTGTCGTTATGGATGTGACACATTTCCGTTATGGATGTGACAGCTGTGAAATAGCCACTTGTGTGATTTTGGCAAATTAAATATAATAGTTTGAAATACTGACAGATACATTTACGAGTATTTTTAAAGTACTGTAAAATACTTGCTAACACAAAAAATGTAGAAACGGTTTGTCTATTTTGGTGAAAACTAAATTATTTTTATGGCAAGGTTGACATTTGCATGGAATTGCCCAATAACATTTTTCAGGAGGTGCATTTTTCACAGCGAGGGCTATGCGTCCGCACGAAGGCTGCACCTGACCATACACATGCGATTGACAGAAGTATAAATCAGCCTTAAGATAACAGGACAGTAAAACAACACTTTATTTTTAACAACGAAGTAAACATTTAAACGGTTTAAAAGGTCATCCATGCAATTTTTTACTTTTTTTATTTGTTGTGCGTTTCTGTATCTAGTTACCTCATAATGTAGCATCATGTTCTCTTCTTGTCACCAGGTTACTGATTAAAACATGCTTGATAATTAGCATGTACTAATTGCCTGTACTTGTGACAGACTTGCCAACCAAGCCAACTAAAAATAACACTCTCTCTTTCTTTCTTTCTCTCTCTCTCTCTGCACAGGTTGATACCAGTGATGTCTCGCTACACAGCGGGCGAACTACGCCGCAGTGCCCCAGTGACCCACCCCATCAAACCCCTGACCGAAGCACACAAAGCATCTTCAGTCTCTGGACAGCAGGGGTTGATGGGATTAATGCAATGCTTTTAACATAAGGCTACGCTTCTGTTCTAAGCACGAAGGGAACAGCATAAGAAATCTTCTCAATAACTTTAACGCGCTATGACACACGCCAGAGTTCTTCAAGATCAAGTCTAGACACCTCTGTTTCTATAGCGCTTTATAGACTGTGTTAAAGCAGCATCAAATAAAGCAGGAAAAAAAAATAGAGGAATCAATTATGGAGGCTCGGCTATGGAGACAATTCAGATTCTGCTCGAAAGCAGCTCGGGTCAACGGTATCTTCATTTGGATCAGAAATTCAGTGTTGTAAGAGTTTAGATCAATAACAGCGTGATTTAAAACAAGTTCAAGTGGTTCTACGAAAAAAAAAAAAGAAAAGGCAGAGATGTTGTTATTCAGCTGGAATCTCTTCAGTGTTGATTTAATTCAGTGTTGCAGGATGCGACTCGGCTGTAAAACAGGTCTATAGAAGACGACATGCCATCATCCAGCTCAATGGTCTTCAACTGGTTAGACAAACACACACTGTACGCCTTGACTGTAGATGCTTCACATTACCAACAGCGTACAGCCTGGCGAGCTAGTTTCAAGTTTGCCTCCTTGACGCTGGAACAGCGCCAACATAGACATCCGAATGTGTGCGCTGGAGAATGACGACAAATTTCAGCCCGCAGGAAGTTTTCAAATGCAAGACTGTGTAATTATCACTTGAAAATAGACGTATAAAACACTAAAACATCAAGATCCTTTGACTGAAGGCGTCTTTGATGTGATAATATATGCAGGCGCACACACATAAAGGTTGTGACTTCTAACACTACAATTGCAGCAAGCTCTTTTCAGCAGGGAATCGAAGAGAGTATATAAGTGTATTTCTATGCATAACGCCTAATACAAAGTACATTGCTACAATTATTCTACTATTATAGCACTGAGTATTCACAATAAATTGAATATATAAAAACAACATATATAAATATAAATACCAGGGCTGCACAATATATCACTTCAGCATCGATATCACAATATTGATAATATGATCATTCGCAATAGTCACATTCAGGATTTGCAATGTTGATTTTCTTTCACAATTTATCATTTGCATGTGTTTTTAATGCCTGTGATTGTATAATGATTTTAAAGACATTCAGGTATAAGAAACTGTACCATTTGTGAAGCTAATTACGATTAATTTTATTGAATTATTTTTATTTTTATTATTCAGTTACTGTACTTGAATACCGTTAAACTCTGGGAAACGATAAAACACTTTATTTCAATTGTATCTTTTTCTTATTGTATTTATAGATTGTCATGCATGAAAATACTCACAACACATGCAGATGTACTGCAAATAGCACAGACCGCAACGAAAACGTGTCGAAGGACACCATAAAAGTTCAAAGTTTGTTTCTTAAATTTTATGGAGATGCAAATAGTAAACATTAAATCATCAAGTGCATGGAGATACTCACAACACATGCAAATACAGAATCGCACTGCAAGCAATTCAAACCACAACAAAAATGTGACCCCCTAAAATTACATAGATTGCTTACTAGATTTTATAGAGATGCACTCCCACTGCAGAATCATCCCAATCGATCATTATACATTCTTTATGAAGTCATATGGTGAAATTGTATCATTATCGCAATATATAATCACAAAAGTCGCAACGTTAGAATTTTCCGATATCCTGCAGCCCTAATGCTGTGTTCACACCAGACATGGAATGCGCGAATAAATCGCACTATTCGCGTGTAAGTAGACGTGTGAACATTTTGAGTTTACTCACTTTATTCACGCATCAAATTCGCTTCACAATAGATGCGGTTTCACATCATGGGCAGGGTTTCTATCTGCTGACTCCAGCTTTGTAGCTAAATGGCTAACATGGATTTTATTGAAACAATATCTGTGTTTATGTGCTTTAGGAAGGCTGAAAAACAGCGTAGATTCGTTCGGCGCTGTGTCTGAGTCAATTAGATACTTCCAGAGGTGCACCCAGCACTGTGGACACATCAAATCTTCCAGAAACTATACCTGGATGATGGAACTTTCAGCTGTGCCCAGTTTTATGAACTGTTGCCTAGTGTTGCCAAGAGGATTTCCCCTTGAGATACCAATAACAAGTGCTACGTCATAATCACAGACCTACAAGAGAAACCTCCTGATTGGTTAACGCAGTACGAATGTCTGCTGAAGTTCAGATTTTCCAACACTCCACTTCATCCACATGAATCGCGGATCATTTGCGCAGTCTCATTCGCACGTATTGCACCGCAGGATGTCTATGCGCGTCTTCATCTTCGTCCGGTGTGAACGAAGCTTTAAAAGTTCAATTAAAAAAATAAATATATAAAAAACAATGAATGAATGAATTAATTAATTAATGGAATTGAAATTGAATCAAATAAAATCGAATCAGTCAATTAATCAATCAATCAATCAGTCAATCCTATGTGCAATCCTTTTATTGAATATACTTAAAAAAACAATATTGCAATTTAGCTAGCTGTATTTCAAATTTAATTAAAATATATTATCCTACACCATTGAAAAAAAATCTATTTTGGCGGACAACTACATGGAGCCCAATGGAAATCATGAGGGTCAAACTACAGCTCACAAGTCGAAGCACAAAAACAAATAACAAGCTGATCTGATATGCTGACACACAAGCCAAACACACTAGCCTGCGATCCCTGGCGGAACCAAGTCATTCAATCCTGTATAAATTCACAATAAATTGGACGAACCTTAGAATGACATTAAAGGGTAGACTTTGTGGAAAAATACAATAAAGATCACAAGATCACAGAAGTGCAAGGCATTGGAGTGTTTGTTGACTGCCACATCTGTGAAAGAACCCACCCGTCAAGCTATCAAACAACAGAAATCCACAGCAGGCAAAGGGGAAAGCATTTAAATAAATAAAATAAATATCATTGGTAGCCTCCGGCTCGATGGCACAGTTAAAGATTAATGTTATTCTTCTGCAAATATTGCTCAGAGGGACAACATGAGTCACTTTCTCAGCAGCAAAGCATTCATGAAAGCAAAAGCCAGGGGAGACCCTAAGGCGAGGCCTCTAGGGGTGAGGTGGACAGCTCTGGATGAAAGACCAGCTGTCTATCAGAGGAAACTTTATGTGTTCTGGTGCTGGCTGTCGCAGAAGAGAAATTTAAATGTTTTCCTTCAGAAGTGTCTCTGCGAGTGCGGTTTGCTCACCTGAATAGGCCCAGTAGGACTCTTCAGCCGCTCGCCGGTGTCTGTCACCGATAGGCCGATCATGATTCTCCGATTTATCCCCCTCAGCCAATGCTGAAACAGAACAAATATATAAAGATAGAGTTTTAAAACACAGTATGAAACTTGACAAAATAAGCTGTGGGTTAGCTTCAGGCCCAATTTTGTGCTTTCTTCAATCAATCAACCAACCAACTAACCAATCAATCCTGTGTAAGCACTTGTTCTCTTGATATCTGGGGGGAGGGGGTAATTTATAATATAATATAAGTTTAATTATATTATAAGGTTAATATAAGTAAACTATTATTATTATTATTGTGAAACATATGGTAAAACAACAATAATAATATTAGGCCTATGTGTAGTTCCACTGTTGGTTAAAATGCTAAATATTGTACAGACTTTAAATGGTGGCCTTGAACAGACTTTAAATTTGTCCGGGTTGTTTTTGCACTATGAAGTGATGACATCAGAATACAACTATTCATAATTCTGAAGTTGAATTATTGTGTTTGAGACATATGCTTGCAATCTGTCATTGACAACATTATTAGACCATGTTTTTCACTAAAATCAGACATGTTATTATTAGACACCCTCTTCCATTATATTCAACATTATCTAAGCTAGAGTAGTTACACTGACACTGTTAAACATTTATTCATGCACAACAATGTGTCCGCTATCAGTGTGGCCAGATACAGCCAATATTTTCCAGCCCAAAAGCTGTCCAAAACTCGCCCAAAGCCGCACAAAAAATGCCCAAAATGCTAGATTAATATTTTAATTAATTGTATTTTTATTAGCCCACGTGATTTACAATTTGCAATGGTCACTACTAATTAAATAGAGTAGCCGCACATGGTTAAATAAGTTGCATATAAAATTTACGTTTCAAAATGTCAATGCCAATGTCATTTTTTACTTGCACAATCAAATTCAAAACCACCCAATTGGGCTGACAACACTGCTCACTTTGAAAGAAAAACATATCAAATGCTAGACAAATCATAACTGCGATATGATCATATAAATGATGTGCGCGCTTTTAGTTTCGCTTTCACTGCCGAGTGCGCTCGTGTCGTGGCTGCAGTTACTTTGAAAAAAAAACATATACATGCAAACCATACTTCCCACGCGCCTCTCAAGCGGTCAATCGGTGCAACAAACTAAACAGTACTTACAACTTTATTACCTGTTATTCACAGCCTATGCAGGTTCTGTTCACACATCATTTGAAGGCAAGCGCACATCTTCTCAGTAGTAAACAAACTTATTTCGAGGCCGCGAATACATCATTACATTAAGACAGAAGTAAATTTTTTGGTTGAATTATACCTTTTAAATACGATATGTAACTCTTTCTGAGCAACATATGCAAAACAATGTGAAGACTTGTATGAACGCCTTTACGCACCTCTCTTGAACTTGACAACGTACTTGGCTAAATTTTAGAGATGCTGGATTAAGATCGTGTGGGGGGGGGTCGAATCAAGATCGTGATCTTTTTTCGATTTTTCGTGCAGCCCTAATCTGTATTAAGATCAGCTATTGAAAAAAAAACTATATTGTCTGAAAACTACATTCATTCATTAATTTTCTTGTCGGCTTAGTCCTTTTATTAATCCGGGGTCGCCAAAGTTGAATGAAACGCCAACTTATCCAGCAAGTTTTTACGCAGCGGATGCCCTTTCAGCCGCAACCCATCTCTAGGAAAGTAAGTATACAAACATACTCAAATAATGAGGGTTGAACTACAGCTCAAATCTGGAGGTATAAAAACAATGGATGGATGAATCGATCAATCAATGTGTAAGCTTCAAAATCTGGCAAGAAATGATCTTACAAATCTATAACAGGGCTCGAAATTGCGACCATTTTGGTCGCATATGCGCCCGAAATTTAAGCTATTCGACCCTTAATATACAACTTGTCAATATATCATTCATTTTTGGTTGGTGCTCCTAAATTTTTTCTGGTGCTCCTAAATTTTTTCTGGTGCTCCTAAATATTTCAGATTGGGAGCACCGGTGCTACCAAGTAAGAAAGTTAATTTTTAGTTTTAACACTTTAGTTTAGGTCACAATTCACAGTATTAACAAACCATAAACTTGCACTACCAACTTAATAAGCTACTAATTGACTGTTTATTACTGGTTAGTGAGGTAGAAATTGAGTTTAGGTTTTCGGTAGGATTAGGAATGCAGAATAAGATCATACTTTATAGCTACAAATGAATATCTTAATAATAGGTAGGTAATAATCCAGTAGTAAATAGCATGAATCGTGACCTAAACTAAAGTGTTACTGGCTTATTTGTAAAAAAGAAAAACAACATTGCATGTTTTAAATTTAACTGATCATATTTTAAATGTAATTAAACTGTATCATCCTACACCTGTTCTCTAGATATCTGTATTAGGATCAGCCATAGAAAAAAATCAATGTTAGCTGACAACTACATGGAGCCCTCGTGAGTACACAAACATACACAAATCATGAGGGTCAAACTACAGCTCACAACTCGAGGCACAAAAACAAATCACAAGACACAATCGCATACGCTCACGCACAAGCCAAACACGGTAACACACTAGCCTGCGATCCCTGGCTGAACCAAGTCATTAAATCCTGTATAAACCAATCTGGCTCAAAAAAACCCTACTCCATTAGAGAGAAAAACAGCCCCCCACACAGCGGTATTTACAGCCTGTCTGCTCTGGGATCAGTTTCCCCCTCCCTCATTAAACATGTATGAGGGGCTAAATAAATAAACAAGGCCTGATTGGCCGGTGAGCGGAGGGCTAAAGCGCTAAGTGCTGAAGCAAAGAGGCTGCGGACAGGGCGCTGGCAGTCTGAAACCATGAGCTGCTCCACCGGAGTCCTGAACAAATCTAGACTCAACCCAATCGAAGTTTTAGACCCCTTTGACTACTTGCTCGAAGCTCGAATTAGCAGTGAAATTACAACAGCAGAGTATTGGCGAGCTTACATTAGCTTAGAAAGCCAAACCTCTTGCTTGTCAAGGATGCCAAGGATATGGCTGGGTTGACTGAGAATTTGTTCCGACTTGCAACAGGGACCGGAGGGGTTAGGAAGGATGGCACACATCCCAGCACCCTGTGGCCTCAGTGTGAGTTTATCAGAGGCGATCTCGACCCCTTGGCTCCAGGCTGCGGGATGTCCGGGATGAACTGGAAGGTGAAGAGTCGATGTGAGATCAGCCTCACAGCTGTCGTCTACATCCAAACTCTCAAACACACTGTGGCAGGACTTGGGGGGTGACTGCCATTTTAGATCTAGACTGACCCAAAAAAAAAAGGAAGCAAAAATGAAAAAGGAAGCAAAAGAGCTGAAGAAAGCACTAAAAAGACTACGAAAAAACGCATCAGGATGTTAACGAGAAATGGGCCACTTTTTTTCCCCCCTCAAACCTGCCGATGTGCTGACCACACTATGGTAACAAGGACACACTGCCTAAAAGCCATCACTCAAAACATAATGCAATTTACAAGGCTCCTCTCTCTCTCTCTGAGCATGCTGGGTAAGTATATTCTGATATGAACAATGGGTGACTTTTTGTTTCAATGACAAACTGCCTTCTGCTCCTCGCTGCTCTAATTCTTCGGGATAGCGGCTCGGGCATGGCAGTGAATGCCAATGAGAGGGTATGCTATGGCTTCTCTATGAATTACATTATTGATTGCCGATACTCTTTGAACAGAAAATGTAATTATGCAATGCGGCATGCCGGGCTTAGTCACTATCCTCCCGATATGTCACTCATGCTCTCTTTCTCTTCCCCTCAATCATTCCCTCCCTCTTCTGTATCCCTGTTCATCCATCAATGAATCCCTCCCTTTCTTAACAACACTCCAAAACATACTTTCTGGGAGTAGCTCCCGCGGAGAGACTCTGCATGCTCCTTTAGCCTTCGCGAAGAGTCTATACATCAGCAGCTGGTCAACTTCTTCTAGACACTTTTTATTTCAGAGATCTCTTCTAGACCTGTCTACCTAGTTTCCACGCTTGGTCGCTTGTTTCAAGGAAAGCAATCCTGCCAGAATTTGTTTTTGCCGTTGGCCAGTATCAGCTCCAACAACAATCAACAACTACAAATCCTAGTACTCCAGGACCTCTTTCCCTCATCCCGATGTCTTTAACAATGGAGCATTATTGCTTTACACAACTACATTATAGGGCAAAATCACCTTGTTCACTTGGCACAACACATATACAAAGAACTGCAATGTTTTCCACAGGGCTGCAAAGTTGTCAGTGTTTTGTGATGCACAGAAGTGCCTGGAGAGATCCTCTAAGAAAGAGAAACTGAGAGTTTAACAAGTCGACGGGAAAAAAAAAGGTCTTACAAGTTGGACAAACCTGGCCTAAACCATATGTGTTAGCATCTTCCACTGAGCTACCAAGAAACTACAGAAGCTCTGAAGTGCTTTAAATGATTTTCCCTAAGTACAGGCCTGGTTCCACATCAGGCTGACTGGTTGCTGTTCTTTTCACCCTTCTGATCAATGCTTACGCACGAGATTATGGATCCATATGGCCAATGTTGAGTCACTAAACCTTCCAGAAGCACTTCCTGTACGGTTAGCGAACTCAACTCTTTAGTTTATACAGTATATACCAACTCTGTGAGACTCTTTTGACATACTTTCACATGCCAGTGATACATTTGCATGCATTCTGGTAATACTGCACATTGAAGATTAACGCTTTATTAACATGAAGGTCAACAGGTCACTAAATTAATCCCAAAAAAGGCTGGTCAGGTTTTGCTAAAAGGTATATTTTGTAAAAAAATAAATAAATAAACAAATGTGAACACACAATTAAAGACACACTCACCAGCCACTTTGATAGGTACATCTGTCGGTTAAGGCAAATTTCTCATCAGCCAATCACACCGCAGCAACTCAATGCATTCAGGCAACCAGTGGCTTGGTTGTTTGTGCCAGATGAGCTGGTCTAAGTATTTCAGAAACTGCTGATCTACTAGGATTTTCACGCACAACCATTTCTAGGGTTTACAGAGAATGGTCCAAAGCAAAAGAATA